GGTGGGGGTGGCCATGTTGCTTTCCGCCGGGAGAGGCCGGTGGGTTAGACTTGCCGGTCATCGAGGGGGCGGCTCTTCCCCGCCGGCCGGCGAGCGCCCTCCTGGCAGGCGGGGAGCGGTGAAAGTCTGGTTCCAAAGCAGGCGCAGAGCTTGCGGTGAGAGGCCTTGCGATTAGGAGGAGCGGGGTCGCTAACCTGGGGCGAGGATCTGTGAGTTACCAGATGCGCTGCTTGGGAGTTTGGCAGCTGAAACAAGAAAACAGTGTGACTGGTAAGACTCGAGGCGTGTTGCAAGCGAAATTGGCTTTTTCCGATTATGTCATCTTTCTGGATCAAAATGGTATTTTTAGTCAAGCTTTTTTACAGTTTTCATGATAATGAAGTACTTTTTTCTTTTTTCTAGGTATTAAGTTACATTTATGATATTATGCTCTATTTTATAAACATTGTCCCAGCCTGCACTTCCCTAAAGAACTGAAGCAGCTGGAAGTGGTCTGAGTATAGTTGTTATCCTAATCCCACATGCTTGTGTATCATGAGGAGTGGACAGCAGAAGACTGTGTATTAGGGTTTCAAGAAAATGAGAAACTTAAGGAAGGCTAGTTTCTTGCTGCTGCTTACCAACTATGAATAAATAGCCAGTGTGTACTTTGGAGAGGCTGTGTAACATCTAGACAAAAAGTGTTTAAGTTTGAAAATCACTTCACTGTTTTTAAATAAAGATTAATTTTACCTTTTTGTGTAAGGGACGTTGATCCTCCTCTTACGATTTTCTTCCATGAACCACCTTTACTTACAAGGAAGAGATTGAAATTGGTCAGCATTTATAAATGGCTTGACTAGCAGTTCTGAACAGGAAGAATGTCAGTTGTTAAGACAGTGAGCTGGACCACCAGCAGCACCCTTCCCATGTTCTCCAGCCACAGTGTTAAACACTTATTTTCCTATCCAGAAGCTGATCTTTCTGAGCCATAGCCCACATATCTGAAGATTAGAACTTCCTGTCAGCTCAGTGTTTTGTGATGACTGTGGAGCTTAGCAGGGGTTGTGATAAATAATTTGTAATACTGATGGCCAGTGGAAACTGAAATGACTCTAAAGACATGGGTTTGTGGCTTTCTTGGCTGTGGTGCTGGCGTAAACCTGTCTCTGCACCGTTCTCTCCATTGTTCTTGCATAAGCACGAGGTTGCATGTTGAGCTAGAACTGGGGCCTAATTTAGCCAAAAATAAACAATTGATTTTGCCAAGCCATTTCCCAGCAAGACTGGTTTCCCAGATCCAGTTCACCATGCAGTGACAAACGGTTGTGCTGAGCCAGTGAAAGCGGAAGACAGGGCAACACTCACAACAGTTTAAGTTGATGCTGCTGTTGAATGTTCTGCCATAGTTGAAGAATGATTGACTTCAGGAAACAAATATCAGCTATGCCTGCTTATTTTCAATTTTATTTAAATAATAAAATTTTTGTTTATTGTCCTTTTAGGTGGCTCAGACTTGTCTTACCTAAGCTTAAAGTTAGACTTGCATAGTGACTGAGGTCATAGATGCTTAATGTTGTGGAAATACTACGTGCTTTTCAATTAAATAATTTAATTGTATGTGTGGTTAGGAATTGGATTACCCCTTGATCATAGGGAAGCCTTTCTGTTACTGACCTTCAAAATCTGGACCTAGGTTTGTAGAGATGTCATCTGTGATGCTTCCCTAGTGTGAAAATGTGTCTCAGGAAATGCAAAACACTACTGAATGCGTTTTTTGGTTTTTTTTGTTTTTTTAATGTAGGCCCCTACTAAAATCAGTGATGTTTCTAGTACTTCCATGCTCTCAAATGTAACATACATTTTAAGTCTTGTGGAAAAAAATGTTTGAAACTCTTTAGGAATATTGAAACTTGAGTTGAGAGTACTGTAAAGAGTCCCATGGAAGTTGCTAAGAAAAGCAAGCTTATTCTAAGTAAATATAGACCTGTTGCACAGTGGTTTACTTCTCCACTGCAGGGAAAACTTAAGCCTCTGCAATGTTGACAGGTTAAACCTCTCAGTTTTTCTTGTGCTCTCCAGATTGTTTTGCTTTTATTCTTTTATTCTGTTATGCTAGATTAATTGTGAGAATATGTAGAAGAGAGTCCTATTAGAGTGTGCTCATTTTGTAGCCTTTGAGGATTAAATGTGATCAGATAACACTGTGCAAAAGTTCACAAAGTCAACAACAAAACCAATAGTAATGCTTTAGTAAACAATAGTTTACCAAAGGTGACTTTAAAATGTAGCCACACAAAGCCTGTAGCTTCTAGGTGCGTATAAATCACGTGGAAGTAACTTATATGTGAGCGTCTGATCCCTCATCGTTCAAATTGGAAATGGGCATCATGGCTTTTTTTTGCTTCATGACAGTTATCATTACACTTGCACAAATGCAATTCTTGTGAATTTAACTCCACATTTTAAGATACATGGTTGAAACTTCAGTTACGTATAATTTGAAAAATGCTTGTTTAAACAGCTAATCATCAATAGGTAGGACTCAACCTTCTTTAAATGAAACAGCATTATCTCAAGGGGTTACAAACATAGTGGTGTGGGGCCTTGAAATTCTGGAAAGTTCAAAATAGCTCATAAAATTCAAGGTAGGCTGAAAGGTATTTCTTCAGACAGTTAGCATGTAAATTAAGTGCAGGCCATGTTCAACTTTAGACTTACTTTTATTATCAGGTATTTCTGCTGCAATGTAGTCAGTGACCTGCTATGATTGAAATCAGTATAGTATGCAGCTGTAGTATTGTGAAGGCGGTTGCTTGCTCGTTGCATTGTTCTGAAATGATGCAGGATAAATGTATCTTGCATGCTGTTTAATAATTTGAGAATGTCTATCATAAACTTTTGAATTGTAAATTATGTTTCTGACTGAATACAAAGCTTCCTCTAAGAGGAGAATGATGTTGGGCAACTTGTAAATTTTTTGAGATAAATATTTTTCTGACAGCAATTAAAAAAATAATTACATTTCCCACAGCTTATAAAATGTCAAGCTTATTTCAAAGTAATGAATAAAAATAGCATATGAGACTGAGTTGTGTTTCATATACTGATACTACCTACAGGTGTGGAGGTATATGGGAAACTTTGATGAGAAAATGTGACCCTTTTGGCAGCTTTGTAAAGATCAGTGTGAATTTTGGGGGGATAGAGAGGAGAATCAAATGAGAGATTTTGGTAGAGAGCCTGCATTGTGAAAGAGAAATGCAGATTTTAAAAGTGAATTAATGTGACTTTTTCCTCAAACAAATTTGTCTTTCACTTTTGAAATATTCTAAAGTCAAGGTTAAACATAACTTTAGAGACTATTTTTAACCTAGAAACTTAAAACAGTCACTCATTTTTTAAAGTTCTAGAACCTATTCCTCTTCAAAACATTCACATTATGAAGGTACTAAGTGTGTGATCTACAGATTTAAGTGTGCTATATAATACAAGTGTTCTGTTAGCTGCCTGAAAGTAGCAGTTGTCCTTGACTCTTATATAGTAGATATAAGGCAGAAAAATTTTAACTGTTTAAAAGTCTTTTTTTTTTTCCTAAATGTGCAACAGTTGTTTAAATGAATAGTCTTTTAAAGAGTGGTCAATTTTTCTCATGTTCAGTGCTGTTTATCATAGCTTGTGTATGTTACATGCTTAACAATAATCGGGCATACCAGTAGTATGTACAGTACTTCATCTTTTTGATTGAAGACTGACCTCTTGAGCATCCATACATTATACAATTTTGCTTTAAATTCTTTTCTGAAGATTGAATGTGTTTTAATTTTTCAGCTGATGTAAAATTCTATGCTTGGTTGTACGAGTGGATCAATATATTACTCGCAGTAATTTGGAGTGCTTTTGTGTCTATTGTGTACAAGTGTGCAGGGAGATTTAGAAGTGTTTTGTCCCTTGAGCCATCTGAACTGTTCTCCTCAGTAGTTTTGGGAAGTTTTTGTTTCTTGTCTGAGTGCCTTAGAACTAACAGAATGTCAGATGTGGAAAGTCATCTTATCCTGTGGGTAGATTTCATCTTCCAGTAGCAAAGGCAGCAGCAGACTGCAAACTGGGCTGAGAAGTGGTAGCACAAGGGCAGCCTGCTTAGGCAGCTGGAAAAAACACCAAGATACTGAAGTATTTTGATATACCTTGTAACTTGTTTGCTAATTCTAGTCATAAGTTTGTGAGTTAAATGTTGAAAATCTGATGGCTACTTTCAAGCGTATGTAACTCATTTTTCAGAAGTCAAAAGGGCTGTAAATATTCTTTGCATCTTTTAAAACTGGAGATTATATTTCCTAAAAAAACAAACGAATGTGCCCCTCTGACCCTGGAGGAAGTGTGTGACTGTTCTACCTCAGTCTTTTGTTCCTGTACATGTGTTGGGCTTCTGTTCTAATTTGGTGGGATGTCACTCAGTTAAAATCATGTCCCATGTTTGTGTTCTAACAGTGAATGCCTTTCTAAAAATCTGTGGTGGTCTAAGTAATAATGTATGCTGTTAGGATAGTTGCTCTGCATTAGGGCTTGTTATGTCATGCCTAGAAAATTTTTCTCTGTCCTGGTGTCTGGAAAGCTATTTAACACTGTTTAATTGCTAACAGGTGGCTATTGGTACCTCTCTTCCACTTGGTGTTACACATACTATGTATGATTTTTACCTCTCTATATTTATTCCTCAGAGTTGCGTATCAAATCATCGTTTGGTTTGTTTTCTTACAGCACATAATACTTGCTCGTGGGTGGGCTTAAATCCTTTTTTTGTCTGGAATATTTTTAAATAAATAGCTCTTGATTCTGTGCCTTGTGAATTGTTATCCTAACTGTAGTGTAGAAGCAGTTATCTGCAAGAAGCATAAGGACCAGCAGATAGTTGACGTGCTTTTTCCCCTAGACATCTGATAACTGGGATGTGCAGTTTTCTCATTCTGTTGGAAACCCTAATCAAGGTGGAAACTCTCAAATGTAACTTATTTTGGTTTAAAGCAAGAAAACTTTGGAAGCCTCTTCCACTAATTGATTCTCTTGACTTTCACCAAGAATGCATAATAGTGCTAGGTTACGTCCTTTTGGGATATAAATGTTGTGCTCTCTCAACTGGACTTCCTAAACAACTTCCATAGACAATTAGATGACATGAATGTGGTCTGGGAAGCAGCTGAAAACACTTGGTGAAACCTAGTTGAGCTAGTTGTTCTCCTAAATAGACAAACCTGATTAAGCAGTTTTTACTGTAAGTGCTATTTGTTTCCTGTCCTGTGACACGCACACCTTCCTTTGATATGTTGGTCATTATGTGCTGTGGAGAAAGAATAAATAACAGCAATTAAATCTGCAAGTGTCAGAAGCCAAGTAATGTGCGGAGATGCACAGTCATTAAATGCTGAGTAGGCAAATGTTTCATGGACTTCTGCAAGCTGATTCCTACATCAAAAAAAGATGTGGGTAGTGAATAAATGTCACTTTTAATTACGTGCTGTCTTGTATATGAGGAGTAAGATTGGCCATATGAAGCTTTCCAGTTTATCTGGTAATACTACTCTCTTTTATTACATCTATTTTAAAAGCAGGAAACCCAGTGGTAGCTTAGTTTAATAGTAGACAAAAAGTCAATTTTAGATTAAAGAATGCATTAGTTATGAGCAATAGTAAAGTATTGTGAAGGATTTAAAATTTGGTAGTCCAGAAACTGCTTGTGGAGACAGTCTGACTTTAAGTTGAAATCTTGCACTTGCTACACTATTAAGGTGTGAATTGGTAAAATGTGTGCAATATCACTTTAATTCATATTATATCTATAGAATCTTTTAAAACCTGCATGCTTGTGGTTTGGGGCAGAATTTCAGTAGCTGGAAAGATGTTGCGTACAAGAAGTGGACTTTGAATGCCAATTAGTGAACTTACATACTTTGTATTTGACTAATAATGAAAAGTGCTTTGCTATACAAATACTTCAGCTTGGTGGTCAGAATAGTGAGATAAAGGTAAGATGGAAGGAAATGGGAGCTGATACGATTAACCAGCCAAAAATGGTCCTTTTTCTGTTTTCCTTGGTGGCAGTAGGAAATAAAAAGTAGTGATGCTAGATAGCTTTCAAAATATCTTAAGGGACTTGTTGTTGTGGTGATTAACTAAAATGTTTGTGCTGAGTCAGATGTCTTCCATTTGTCCAGAAATGGACTTCCATGTAGTTATGTGAAGGGTGACCATCGGTATGCTGGGCAGGTATTGAGGTTCATTACATTTTTTTTAATTGTCTGGAGGTGCTACCTTAATCCTTTCTGATGTTGTCTTGTATTAAAGTTATGAAATGGCATAGCCCTGCATGTGCTTACTAGTTTTGTATTGATTCTTCCAGTTTATATAGTTAGATACTTCTGGAAAACTGACCAGGGAGACTTTAGGATTAGCTCTTTGTGTATTGAAAGCTATTTGCTAAACAAACATGAATGAGATTCTCAACTGAAATGATTTTTGGAAGATACTCTGCATTTGTCGAGAGAGTCTGTTTGATGTAGAAATCTTTAGTGTAATGGCATTTGTAAATCAATTGTAAATATTAGATGTCACAACTGCGGAGTATTGTGAATGAAAGCAAGCTTTATCACAAAACCTAGTGCTTAGTTCAATTCCAAACTATAAACAAGATTTTTCTTGTATGCTCATTGTATTTGCATGTGTAATATTTCTAACTCTTCTAGTTAGAATCACCTGAAGGGGCAACACTTAAATTGTAATTGTTTGTACTTGGCTTTTTGTAGCATAATACAAGTAATAACTTGGAGGAGGAAATACTGAAATGCTTCTTTGGTGTATTTCAAAGCCTTTGTGCATTGACCATCTTAATTAGCTCTGTGGGTTCTTGTATGTGATTAAAGGGAAAGATGAATATTTGATCCTATCAACTTAAAAATAAATGGGGCTAACACTAGAAATTTTATTCTAGATAGAATTTGAAGCTTTTGGAAGATCTGTTTAGCTTTTTATAGTATTGCACTGAAGGAGATTTGACAGATAGTTCAACACTGCTTCTATGGGTTTGTCAGTGATGTTCCCCATTAGGGAATCCTGAGAAAGCATTTAGTTTTATTAAGAGGCAGGAAATTGTATTACCTGCCCGTTGTGCTGTGTAAATCAAAGCACCATCCTAGTTGTCACTGCCCCTGCTAGGCCTTCGGGTTTCAGTATTTTCACTGTGAACATGGGAGCATATGAAAGCATTCTTAAACATGATGTAAATTAGCTTTTGAACTGAGATTTTTTTCTAGGTGAGCTGTTATACTAAAGCATACTTAATTATTTTCAAGCATAAAGGTGTAACTTCTCTGAAGTAAAACATAGTATCATGCTTAATAATGCTAAATATATTGATAATGAAACGAAAATCCCTATTAAGACAGATCTTTAGGTGTTATCAGAAGAGTTTGCCAGCTGGGACTGTGAAGGTTAAACAGTGTTTGTTTGTTATCACTTCAAATCCATTCCACTTTTCAGCAGCTTTGGTGATGATAAACTGAGTAACATGGAAGTCTGGAATAAACTGTTCCATTGATTAGATGACTTACTGTTAGTTAATCCACCCCTACATTGCTTTGACTCTCTTAAGACCACAAAGTTTAAATTAATTTTTAAGTACTACTTTTGTATTGCTGCATTTAGGAATGTGTGGAGTCCTTGGGTCTGCTTTAGTTAGTATTTGTTTATATTACCAAAGTGCTTTTTCTTTCACAGGGTCAGCTGTAGAGGCTTTTCTGTGTTAGCTGTAGGGAATGAGCTCTAGTCCTCACTCCTTGTCTCTGTAATATTCTAGCACGGATTGGAGATTAGGGAGAGATGGTGGTAACTGGCGGGGACACTTGGCCTCACAATAAAGCTTTGTGTTCCCTAGTTTGAAGGAATGGCGTTAGAATTTCAAACCTGACACAGTGGCTTCCCAACTGCATGACAAGCTTGAGGGGGTTTGCATGCACAGGGAATATATTATTTCACTTCTTTGTGTTAAAGTATATTTGACATCTCTTGCACTGTATCTAGAGATTTGAAAAAATTATACTTAGAATCAGTCTAATCCGTGCAAATGGATGTAATTACATTTTTTTTCAGTTTGAAATTTGAGAACTATATGTGTTCAAATTCTGCTGTTTGGTGCCTGAAGCTTTGTTGGTAGTGATGTTGCAAATACAAAGATAACTACTTACCAGTTTGGTTTCTAGCTGCTTGTAATAGCTGATTTCAGATATGAGAATTGTAGGTGTCTCCTATTTGTAATAACAGACTTTTCTAAATAAACAGGGCCTGTACATCTGTTTCCAATGATGCTTTGTCAGGAACCGATTTTAAAGTAATTTTCCTTCTGAAATTACTCTGGAAATTACTTTCTAGATGTGCATATTCTAGATAACATAGCATATTATGTATTTCTGAAATAACTCAGAGAACTGTTTCAAAGTAAGGCAAGTATGTTAAGTAAACCATTCTGGAAACAAATGACAGAGGAAGCAAATTGCTGAACAGCAGAATGTGAATTCCTGCAGTTAGTATTTATTGTGGGACCTGTTCAGATGTTGAAGAATAAAGGGATGCAGATTGTGCTTCCATGATGTGATTTGGGCCCCTAATCCAAGGTGAATTAGAGGAACTCGTAGCTTCCACCTTCTTAAAGTTACTTCAGAGAACTAAATTACTTCAATAAAAATTGAGAAGGAACATATCAATAACTCCTTTCTTCAAACAGGAAACCACTCCCAACCCTCAGCCTTCAGAAGAGGAGAAAACCGAGCCAGCACCTAGTCAGGAGGTTGCCAGCCCTGAACAGTATATTAAGCATCCACTACAAAACAGGTAAATAGTACAGAAGCATGATTGTAATTTTGCCAATGATAGAAGAATGCCTGTGGCTTTACAGCTCTCTTGTTTACCTTATGTTTTTCTAGCAGCATTTTAAGAGTTCTCAATTTTTTTTGAAGATTTTTGCAGTGAGGTTGCAGAGGAAATAGAATCTGATCTTCTTGTAATTTAAAGCCTTTTCATGTAGTGTTCTTACAGAAGCTGAAAATCTTTGCAAATTTTCATAATGCAGCCAGGTAATTGGAAAGAGCATGGCTTTGTGTTTAGTTGGAGGCAAGCAGAGCTTTTGTTGCTTTTGTCTGGTGTGTTTTAAGAGACTGACACTGAGATGAAGTTGCTGCCAAGCAGAACTGGAAAACCTTCCGTTCTTCCTTGTACTTTGGGCAATTAAGGTGCCAGTGGTAAAGACTTCTCATTCGTATCTCTTATCAGAGTCTTACTCCTTCATATCTTATAATTTTTTTCTCCTGTTTGGAACTGAAAGTAGTAGAAGCTGTGTTAATCAGCCAAAGAGCTTATTAGACTTGATCATATGAGTGGTTGGTGTCTACAGTAATACTGTTTTCGTTATCTATGGGAAGCACAGCAGAAGAAACCCTGTAAAGTGCAAATGCACACATTTGTACCAATGTGTCACTAAGAGGAAAAAACTGTAGGGCACTTAAATTTTCTTGTTTAACGAGAAAAACATGGATCAGTAGTTAAAAGTATAGTTAAGAAAAGTTATAAAAAAATCAAAGCCCTCTTACTAAATTCTGTGTGCAGTGTGCAAAAACAGGTATGTCTTAAAAGCTTTAAAAGCTACTACTCAGCTTTTTACTGAGCTATAGAGGCAATGAGGACTTTACCAAGAAGTTTTGTACTTGAAAACCTCAACTTGTAATACCTTTACTGCAGAAAGGTAGTTCAAGCTTACAGGTTGAATTCCTTTAAATGTGCACAAACATTACTCCAGCAGCGCACATATACTTCAAAAAGAGCAGCTAGGAAGTCATTTTCTCCAAGTAAGCTGAAGAGCTGATGTGCAGTGCTCAGTACTTGATGTTCGTAGGTAGGTGCTGCCCCGTAGTGAACCTTTCACCAGGTGGCACCTTACTCTTTTTCTGAGTTTTGAGCAAGCGTGGAAAACCACTGTGCACTGCAGTGCTATGCTGTGTGCATCCCATTTTCCCTTGTTGTCTTTCTCTCAACTTCCATCTTTTTCCCCTAAACACTTTGCTTAAATTGGTGCTGACACTCCTTTACAAGTGGTAGTGGGGCTATTGCTGGAAAATAGTAAACTTTTAAAACAAGGTTTGAAATGTCAGAAAAGGTCTCAAAGCAATGGATTGACACCTGGCAACTTGAAGTACTCTGCTGTGAGAAGATAAATCTACTCTAGTGCTAACCTGAGCGATTTCAACACTATTGAAACTATCAGAATGAAAAATAAGCCTGTTTCGTTAAATGCCTCATCAGGTATCCTGTTCCAGCATTTTAAACGATGCTTTTTAGATCCAGAAAGCATCTTTGTGTGAAAGGTTCAATTTATAATATGTGTTGAGATTTGTACTCAGTTGAGATAATGATGAAGAAAATTGATGGAAAATTTTTCGTTTAGTCTTGTCTTTATATATGCAGATTTAAAGATGTGAAACAGTTAAAGTTGGTTGGGTTTTTTGTAAGATTGTTGTCATTAGTAAGCTTAATGCAGCTTCCCTTTTAAAATTTATGCTCTCCTTGTATGTGAGTGCTTGGGAAACTTTCATGTCATGTATAGCTTTAGAGTGATATAATTAGCTTTTGTAACCTTTACAAGGAAATTACTGGAAAGGGAGCTGTGCTCCTACTTTGAATAGTTGGTGGTGTTTTAGACCATAATCAGCTATTTGTAGGGGATTGCAGTTTAGCAGTGGCAGCAAGGAGAAACATCTGAGGCTTAGAGGTTTAGAGTCTTAGAAATGTTCCAAAACTATTTAAAATATTTACCTAAATGGATTGATCAAGACTGCCATGATTCTTGTAACGGGAACAGAAATATTGTTGATCTGCAAGGAGTTGGATTTGAGAACTGGGTTTCTCATGTAGCTTATTGACGAAAACTGACTGCCGTGCTGATAATATCTTAAGGTTTGCAATTAGTTTGGATATAACAATACAAATAATTCATTATATATTTAGTATACTTTAATTTCTAGATGCTATTATTTTATTTTGTTTCCCTTTAGATGGGCACTCTGGTTTTTTAAAAATGACAAGAGCAAAACTTGGCAAGCAAATCTTCGTCTTATCTCAAAGTTTGATACTGTTGAAGATTTTTGGGCGTAAGTAAAGATGTTTCAATCTGCATAATAATCCTGGCATATGTTGGCAAAGCTTATGCCAAAGTCAAAAATCCAAAGTACTCCATTAACTGCAACTTTTTGGGTGTAATCTGAAATGTTTGCAAAATTAAAGGTGAGGTCTTCCCCATTCTTCAGAATGTGGTAGAATGTAACCTTTGAAGAAAATGTGTTTGGAGAAGTTTTTCATACTTTAAATGCGCATTGTCTTGCTGTTAACACTGCAACACTGCTTATATTCGTATGTACATGACATACATGTAGAAAATTGTATTTGTGCAGTAGCTATCTCATAGTAACATGAATTTGTAAATTCTTGTAGCCAATTGATTGTCACTTCCTTGGCCCCAAATTTTGCGAGTTGATTAAATTCTCAGACAGCTGGCTCACTAGATGTTCAAGAGTGCCTGAATCTGGAACATAGTACTTGGGAGATTGATGCAGTTTAATGACATCCTTGAAAGAAGTTCATTAGAGGTTACAGAAGAAGCTACCTTAATTCTAAATTGAAGGTCTGCAAAAGCAGTTAGGCTCAAACAGCAAGAACAAAGCCTTTGAAGGTAGGCCTATGCTTTCCAAACACTTGCTTCAGTCAGATTCAGGTGGCTTACTTGGAAGATTTTGCCTGCCATAATGATGAAATGTGGAGAAAATGCAAGTAGCAGGAAATTGAGGGTGAAAAATGCATTATATATTTGATCTTTCTTGGTGTTTCATGCTACACTGAGTGGTAGGGTGGTTCTTTCGGATGTGATCAGTAAAGGAGAGATGGTGTCTCTTAGTGGAATAACGAGGCCCATCAGTGACCCATTAGCACCAACAGGAAAGAAATAGATACTGAAAATGTTGAACAAGTATTTATCAGTGCAGTCATCAGAGAGAGGGGAATAGGATTCTGTGCCTGTAACCAGCTTTCCCATTCCTACTATGGGGGTGACTGATGGTTGAGTGAACAGTAGTTTGCAGTCTTGGGGTATGTGATGGGAGGCTAAATTGTTTGAAGCTCATTATTAAAGTTGGTTAAGGGTAAGTTTTTTTTGAGCTCCTATAACCAAGATAGTCTGGGTAATTAAAAGAAGTGCTTAATCTAGGTGTCTGCAATCAAGGTACAAAATCAGTCACAAGCAATTGAGAAGTTATGCCTCCATTGTGGTCGGAGTGGGAAATAGGTGTGTTGCTCTGGGGAGAAAATATTAAGGTTAAGGTAAACTTAAAAGAAGGAAGTTGGTAAATCTGTAACTGGCTTTGTAAATTCCTATGCCTGATTTCTAATTGTTAGAACATCGCAGTAATTAATTTCCTTTTTGGTGCTGGACCATGCCTGAATGTTAGTTGGTCTTGGACTACAGGTTACTGTGGTCTGTGCAGGCCTTCTTCTAAAGCCTGACCTTATCAGTGCAGGGAAAAAAAGCATCTATCTTGCTAGAGGAGGAGACAGTATGTACTCCTTTGATTCGCCCCCCCCCCCCCAATTGCATAGTTGTAAACTTAATTTGGAGTATATATTTTATATTTTGTTGCTTCAGTCGTCTGTTCTTGCCTTTTGAGTCCCTATTTCAATTTGAATTATTAGGCCTAATTACTATTATTAGATTATTATCTAGCCTTCATCCCTAGAGTATTGTATTAAATAACAAAGTTGAGTATTTCTCCTAAAACCTCTCTCTGCAGAGAGAATAGCCTTAGAAATATAAAAAATTATCCTTTTTCCATGTATGTATATGTACAGAATACACATGCACACAGAACTTGTTGCCGTGAAAGTTCAGTAAGTTATGTTTCTAATAACTTTGTTAGAACTAGGTTTAAAAGAAGCATTGGTATTTCTGGAAAATGCTGTTGTATAGGAATCCAGCAAGTGTTCATAAACCAGTTTCCATTCTGCTTCTTTAAGCCCAGAACATCTTAAAGCTAATGCTTTTATACTGCTGAAAAATACTTGGGAAATAGGGTTGCTTCTGAAATAACTTTAATGCTTTTTAATTTTTGTATTTTATTTGGTCATTTGTCTTAAATTCTTTAAGAATTTTGTACCTTAAAATAATGCTTAGTTTTTAATCCTGCTTTTTTCCCTCCAATAGTTTATACAACCATATCCAGCTCTCTAGTAATTTAATGCCTGGTTGTGACTACTCGCTCTTTAAGGTATGCTTGCTAACCTTTTTTCTTCAGTTATGGATGTTGATGGATGGTTTCCTGACCAAGCAAGATACTGTCCAAATATTTCACTTCAGATATTTAGGAACATGGTTGGGAATGTCCTAAAGGTATTAATTTTTTTAGGAAGTCCCAAACACATGCCCTCTGAAAATCAGGCTGTCACTAGTTCTGAAAATGCAAGTCGTTGCTTTAACACACTTCACAGACAGTACATTTTAATCTGTTGCTATGTTTGTCTTCATTCTATATTTGAGATGCTTATGCAAATAATTAAGTCTCAATGATTTTTATAATATGAAAGATTTTCCAGCTCTGTCATTTGGTGTGACATGAAATGAGTTAAAAATGTCTGATTTCTGTGGGAGGCTGCAATGTTCTCCAGTATTCTTCATGAGCACTACTAGCCAGATGTACAATGCTCCTATAATTAATTTTTACACCACCAGTTACATGCCGTATTACTTACGTATGAAATAGAAAATTGTACCCAACACTGACACTTAAAGCATGCTGAAGAAGTGTTCAGGCTAGTGAATAGGAAATGCTGATGAGAAAGCGTACATGAAATCCTGCCTCGGCTGGAGTGGGGATCTGAGCTGGAGCTCTAAATTAAATCCTAACCTCTCCGAAGCGCTTCTAACATACAGCTTCCTTTCTGGATTCAAATACCTAAATAGTCCTCAAAGTACTGGTGCCTGGTTTCTCCTTTGCTTATAAAACATAGCTACTGGCTGGGACTCCTCAGTTGACTGTAAAGTTTGCAAACCTCAGCAGCTTTAGGTAGTGAAGAGGTGGTGATACTTGGGTTTGGGAAGGTAACAGTATTTTAGGTGACTGAGAAACCTTACTAGTAAATTTCAAGAAGCTGTAGGCCCTTCAGAGGTTAGGCTATCTATGGATCATGCTTGTATTTTTTGCATGAATCCTAAATTTGTGGTTTAAGTGTGTGTATCTATTCTGTGCTTGAATATCATCAATCAGCAATAATTTAATTATTTAAATGCATGGAACAGGTACAGAATTGGCAACTGTTGCAGGCTTCTGAGCAATCTCTTGCTGTTGTCCTTCAACTGTGACCTCGTAGGAGTGCCTCTTAAAGGTGATGAAGTAGTTTGAGCTCTGCAGCTGCCAGTGAGGGTGTTAAATTTAAAGTGAGCTGACACCACTCCGTCCTGCACGTTGAACACTTAATTAGTTTCAGCCAAAGTTCTGTAGTGTGGCTCTCTTAATAGACATTTCTTAACCAAATTTCAGTGTCTAGACAGTTACCTGCTTTTTTTAATGACTGACTTTCCTGAAGTGCAGCATAGCTGGTGGATATGGGAGTGGCAGCTGGCTGCTTTGCTGGATCAGTGCATCCAGAGTCATGTAATTGAGTGCAGGGCCATTGGTAAAGCATGAATCAGAATGCAACTTGCTTTTAAATGGTGTGTTGATTTTTGTGGCCCTGGCAATTAAAACCCTCTTATTCTCACCTTGTGCGTGCAGGAAGTCATTGAGATAGACTGCCGAGGGTGTCTGTCTCAGTGAAGTAATCTTTATGCATAAGCGAAGCACTCGGCCAATGTTGCAGTGAGTCCAAGACTTAAAATAAGGACTCCAGAATGTAGCTGCTAATTTTATCTGTTTCACACAGGGCAAAGTGGATGTTTGGCTTTGCCTGTTCCCACAGTTTTTATGTAACATTGTGTAGCCGAGACTTTTGCCAGGGCTGTAGAAATAAAAATTCATTAGAGAAAATGCACTTTTTAAGCTGTTTTGGAACTTTGGTATTGGCATAAGACAGAATTTCTGGACAGGTATGTATCTTAAAGTATATACTTTTTTCTTAAGTTGCTATTTCAGTTACCACTGGCCTTTTGGTTGTTATTTAGGAAAAGTACAGATCAAGTCTGATTTAACTTCTGGCTGTTCTGTGCAGGATGGGATTGAACCCATGTGGGAAGATGAAAAAAACAAGCGAGGAGGACGATGGCTAATTACACTAAACAAACAGCAGAGACGAAGTGACCTTGATCGCTTCTGGCTAGAGACAGTAAGTACTACAGCCTTACAAGTTGCAACTGAAGAATCTTGCATTTGTATTATTTTAACTAGTTTGTTCTTTCTGTGTGCCACACTTGAATTCTAACTTCCTGGCAGCACAGTGTCCTGTAAGTTTTTATTGACAGGCATGATTTTTCAATAGTGATGCTCAAAGTAGTTGTATTCTGTTGAGTACTTTCTTATAACAGGCAGCAACAGAGGTATTTCTACAGGACAGATTAACCTTTTACTGTGGAATGTACAGAATAGCTGTCAAGCTACTGGGAAAATAATACTTTGTCTTGAATGTGACTCCCAAATGTAACTGTTTAAATGTAACAATTTGTTTTACAAATACTCCTATAAGTGAATGGTTTTCAGGTTTTGGTCTTGCTGAAACAGGGGAGTTTCAGATTTATTTTTGTTCTTTCTGTACTTATCTTAACACTAGGATAGGCAAGTAATAGCACAATCTTCCTGTGCACTATAAAAATGCTTTTCTCCATTGCTGTTATCTTTCTGGAATAGATTTTTTGAATGGTAAATATACTTCTAGAGATTATGTGGCTTGCAGTAAATGTGTTGTAGAAAAGGATACAACTGTACTGTCCAGGAACTGACTCAGGATAGCCTAAGAGAGTCTAGTGTGATCTGCATTTTAGGGGCATGGATTGCAGGGAGTACAATGCAGAACAATCTTATCAAATATTTGATCTTTTTTCCCTGCTTGTGTGAGAGGCAAGAACTATTGCATCCCTTTGAAAGGAAGAAATGGCCTTCAGGATCAAAGCAGAGGTGTCCAAAGCACCAGAGCTATTGGGATCTGTAGGTCACTGTAATGATTTGAAGAAAGGATGATGAGCATTATACTACTAGGCAGTATGACTGCACATGAGTAAATAAACATCTTGCTGTGTGCATTTGGCCTCTCCCCCTAAATGCCTGTGTCAGTCCTTCTGACTCTGAATAATCATTACATATGGATTGGAAACGTGTAGATAGTCTATGTAGACTTAAGGCACAAGGGCTCTGCTTTTTGTTCAGTAGCAAGCAATGGCACAGAGCCCAAATACCCAGGTGACTGGGATATGTGCTCTAAAACAACCCTGTCACTTCTAATTCCAATAATTATTTGTAACCAACTTTCTCCGATAAGAATCAAAACCTCTTCCTTTATCACTCCCTTTTGGAACAAATTTTTATTTTAATCTAATGATCTTTACCATTCTTAACTGTAAACTAAACTTCATTGGAGAAGACTTTTTTCCCCTGTTGTGCAGCATTCATGAAGAATATACTTGACTGCAGTGTCTATTGAGCATGGTAGTCATCTTTGCATGTATAAGGCTGTTGATCAGTATTTTGAATGTTTGTGTGTGGTTTAAACTTAAATGTTTATGGCTTTCAGTACTCAGTGAATGTGTGCATCCTGCAACTGGATGTAACATTTAAAGCATGCGTAGTTATACCTGATTTATTCAATAGCATACTTTGTCCTTTTTGTATTTCCTTGATGAAGTCAGCCCTTGCAGCTCTTATGGGTACTGAAAGACCTGCTTTGTTCAAAAAGTTGCAAGTGTGTTGAATTTCCAAATGTTATAAGTGATTCTGGAAAATTAATATAATGGCAGTGTATTGAACGTACTGTGCAAGTGAAGTAAACAAGCATCCATTTGGAGACTAATCCTGCAGAAGGATTTTTAATTCAGCATGGACTAGATAAATCTGTCTTAACCACAAGAAATTCTCAGTTTTATATATTTAAAAATTGCTTATTTTACAAGTTGCAAGTTGTAGATTTTAAAAATCACTTTCACAGTTAGCATATTGTACAGCGATGTGACCTAACTCAATCTGATGTTCCTGGAGTGTACCATCTTTGCCAATTCCAAGCTTCACCATTAGAAACCTGTGGGGGAGAATCTTGTATTACATGTATACTTGTGGTGTTGCACTTGCGTTACACTCTGTTCAGGATGACTGATTCCCATGTTAGAGTCTGTGGGAACTCTGAAGCTTCCTGAGTGTGCTGGTAGGAAGCAGCATTTCATTAGATAGCACTTTTCATCCAAGTTGCAACCTGATTTGCCTCTGAATTGGTATACTTCAGAATTGAAGTTGGACCTTACATAGCTGACATTGCCCAAATAGTTCTTCACAGGTTCTTCCTAGATAATGAATGTAAACACTTAAAATTTCGTATTTGTCTACCTGTGTTAAACGTACTTTGGAAGAATAAATTCCTTTAATTCTTACCTGGTTTTGGATTGGGAGGATGGGGTGGGAGGCAACACTATGTAAATGATCAACTGTGTCAGAATTTGCAGCTGCTGGGACAGGAGGAGAGACGGAAAACTCAAAATAGGAGGAAGATACCCTACTACAACTGAATTTATGTTCACTTGTAACATTTGGAACTTCACTTCTGTTTATTGCAGTATCTTCTTGATTGCTGTATGGCAAGTGGCTATAAACAGTAAAACGTACTATTCTTCAAAGTTCTTTGTGTACACTGAGTGTTTGCCTATGGAGCAGAATTCTGACTTTGAACTGCCACTTTTAATGGTTAATCTTTGTTTTGTAGCTGCTGTGCCTTATTGGGGAGTCATTTGATGACTACAGTGATGATGTATGTGGTGCTGTTGTTAATGTTAGAACTAAGGGTGATAAAATAGCAATATGGACAACTGAATGTGAAAACAGGGATGCTGTTACGCATATAGGGTAAGTAATGTGATTGGTGTCTTGAATATATGAGTGTAACAATGCATTTAAAGCCAGCTAACTTGATAGAGAATGCACTTTAGGCAAATGTAGCCTGTGCCGAGCTGTATCCCATGTTCAAGTAACTCAGTGCCAAATTATTTGTGTTACTGTGTAGTTTTTTGTATGGGCTTATGTTAGTAACTTCTTTGCACTGCTGCACTACCTTCGCTGTAGTTTAGAAATAATGAAGAATCGAACACAAATCTTGGCAGAAGTTTTTCATTTCACAATGAGGCATTATAATTAATACTTGTAGATAGTGTAGATTCTGTTGCAGCATGCCAGTCTGTAAAGGTGCGGGTAGCCAGTAATAGTAGAGTATTGGTAAGATTTTTCTCAGGAAAGTGATGCTTACAAATAAGAGAAGAAAGAAAAGGCATTGTAAAACTTAAGCTCACAAGGATGTCCTTATATTTGAAAAAAGCTGGTCAGTGATGTGCTTTACAGATGTCTTCCTACATTTTTGTCTCTGTTTAAATGCAAATCAAACAAAATAATGCTGAGTTTCATTGACGTGTGTAGCAGGTCAATAGCATGTTGTAGTCTTCATTCCAGTAAGCAATAGTAGTCATCTCAGATTATCATGTGTCTGTACTATGGAAAATGCATATTGTGCTCTGCGATTGAGCAAGTATTGTTAAAGCTAGTGTATTCTTATGCTGTAGTATCGATGCTTCAAAATTACCTGCTGTTAAATTCGGTCATTGTAGGCCGCTTAAATATTTTCATTGGTTTGCCTAGGTTATCTTCCCAGCTTAGCACGTCTGTCTTAGGCCGAACTTCAACTGTCAGGCATAGTAGCTAGCTAATATCTTTCACTTATTCAAGGATACTTCTCTTGACACATGCCTCATTTGGGCCTTTATGAACCTGGTGGGGTGTGCCTTATACTAACAATTTCATTATACAATCATGTTCAGACTTGAAAGGTAAGTGTTTAACAATAGACAAATAGAACTGTGGTACACATCTTCTGCTAGTAGAGAATAACCTTACACCAAAGCTAATAGGCATCAGAGTGCATTTTTAGCACTCTGTTAACCATTAACTAAGGAGCTAAGATGACTCCATTAGAGAACTAACTGTAAAAAAGTTAAGATTTTGCAAACTGACGGACACAATGATGAATGTAAGTTGACTGCCTGCTGTCATGTTGCCATAACTCCAAAGACAATACATCAAGCTTTTATTTAACAGTTAAAATTGGGGTAGGCTATGGTCCTGTAAACTGCTCCATTATGATTAGGGTAGGTTAAAAAACCAACTTTATATAGCTTTGTTAACAAGCTGCAGTTGAACAGGCTTGTTCTGTGGTTTAGTCAGAGTTTGCAGCCTAGCACCATTAGTGGCTTGCATCTCACCTGTACTCTATGCTAAGGAACATGGTGGGTGTGTGTGTGTATGTAAGGGGGGGTACTGCTGCTTCTTTCTCTTAAGTCATAAAATCCAAGCTGATTTTTCTTAAAGCTCCAGTTGGGTAGTGGCCCGTGACCCAGTACCATGACCAGCAATTCATTATGGGGATGGGGGGCCTGCTTTCTATCAACAGTTAAAGAAAAGAGAGCAAGTCTTTGTGCCAGAGATGTGTGTGGTGATAAAAACTGACTGTTCCGGGGAATTGCTCACTTACTTGGTTCAAGTGACTTTATCATCTCAGTAGTTCTGGAATCGTGGACCATGACTTCTTCATAGCTGTTTTGTTTCTATATGTGGGAATATAGCTTGCTGATATTAATGATACTCACATGGATGCAGTAGAATCCCTGTGTTCTACATTTATGTAGGCCTGTTAATTATTTTTTGGCAAGAGCTTGTCCTATTTTATGTGGTAAGTCATTGTTCATACGGAACTATAAGCTGATTTTAGATGCAATAAGCTAGAAAAATCCTGTTTCAACTCCTTTACTTATACTTCAGAAATTGTTTCTAAATAGGCAACTATTTTTCATGAAGACGTCAGCAGATCTTAAAAGCAGGTGTCCTGTTACTAATTCCTTCCTAAGGGCTTTGCTTAAACTGTTGTTCTGTTTCTTTTCTCCAGGAGAGTATACAAGGAAAGATTAGGACTTCCTCCAAAGATAGTGATTGGTTATCAGTCCCATGCAGACACAGCTACTAAGAGCGGCTCCACCACTAAAAATAGGTTTGTTGTTTAAGACGACACCTTCTGAGTATTCTTTCATAGGAGACTGCGTCAAGCAATCGAGATTTGGGAGCTGAACCAAAGCCTCTTCAGAAGCAGAGTGGACTACATTTAAATTTGATTTCCATCTAAGTGTTGTTAAGATTTGTGAGAAGTCTCATTCGCCTTTGTCTTGTACTTCTGTGTTCAATTTTTTCTATTTTGGCTGAAGTAACCATTACCAATCAGAATTTTAGTACACTTCACCCCCCGAATCCATAAATGTTTTCCTGGCCCACTCTGTAATAGCTTGGTAGAAACATTACTATTACAAAAAAAAACCACGTTTGTTTATCCACAGTATTCAGAAAAGAAGTTGCATTTCTGTACCTGCAGGAAATTACTCTGTTTTACATTTGCATTGTATGCAGTAACATTTTGCTGGTTTGGAAAAGAGTATGGTGCATACAGTTTTCTAGCAATTTTTTTATACAGCATCATCTTTGCTGTAACCTATGCTGATGGCTGCTAGATTAATTTATTTGTTTTCCCTATTTGATAACATTAGTAATATTTTGATTTCAGTTGTTTTTGCTCATGTAACATTTGGTGAAGAATCTGGGAATATGACAAAGGTGGAATAAACATTAATTTTGTGCATTCTTTGGTAATTTTTTGGTTTTTTGTAATATCAAAGCTTTTATGCATTTCAGTCAAATCAGTGATCTGTTTGTGTGATTTCCTAAACATAATTGTGGATTTTTTTTAATGTAACACCATAATTTACATTCCTTACTAGAAATAGTATGTCTGTTTTTGTATCTTACGCTGTATTTTAACACTTTGTATTACTTAGGTTATTTTGCTTTGGTTAAAATGGCTCAAGTAGAAAAGCGGTCCCATTCATATTAAGACAGTGTACAAAACTGTAAATAAAATGTGTACAGTGAATTGTCTTTTAGACAACTAGATTTGTCCTTTTATTTCTCCATCTATACAGCAAGTATTTGTACTTCTTGTGACAAGGCAGTCTCTACTGTGGCTTCTATTGTAGTGTCTTCCAAGAAAGATAAAGTCTGGAGCTATAGTCTGTTGCAACTTTTAATAAATCTGTTAGATAGTACCCTAAATCAAGGTGAAATTATATTGATGTGGCTACTGTTTTTTTTTGTAGCGGTTGGACTAATTGATCATGGTTTGCATTGTTTCTCTTTTGACTTTAGTTTATGCCAACCAAGAAATTCGAGGGTACATAGAAAGCTGTCTAGTTTCAGGTAGGAACTACACTAAAAGTGCTGAAGTGAGTGATTCTACTTTAGATATGTAATTCCTATATGAAGTACAAGTAAAGCGCACTAGAGACATGGCTACAAAATAACAGTATATAAGAATCTAGATAGTCTGCTGTTATGTATGTCTTACAATGAAATGAAACTTTCATTGGCTTTTAAGTTGCTGTGGGAGTTGTAAGTTTGCTTGACTTGCAGGATTGTGGGAAAATTTTGAAGGCCATTGAGTTAACTTCTTGTTTCGAGCACAATGTGAGAGGCTTTTTCTTTCCACTCTAATAGAGCATGCAGCAAAATCAATGCTTTATTGGTAATTTCTTATTTTTTAGTGTGTGATGTACTTTAAGATCTTGCCAGGGCTATAGAGCCTTTCTTCAGTTAAACCTAAAGGCAGATGCTTATTGGGATTTTGATCTTTGGGATAACTCCTTAAAGCGAGTTTAGTCATTGTGGCAGTGAAGCTTCAGTTGAATCAGGCTTTTAAATCTGCCTAAGGCACTGAAGTGTTTCTGTGTGCCAAGATAGACTTGAACACTTTCTTGTACATTTTATAAGAGATGTGTGTTGTAAATAGCGTGTCAGACTATACCAAAAAGGTATTACATTAACTTCCGGATCATTCTTATGTCTGTTTAATAGAAACACTTACAGTAGGCGTCTATATCTAATGATACTATGCCTTCAGTGTTGGTCATTAACCAGGATAGATGTTGGATGTGGAGAGAGCTATCTGGCTGTTTGTATGCTGGTTTCTGTGGGTTCTGGTGTAACTGGTTGCCTGCCCTGATTCTGCAGGCATGCAAAGCAAGTCGGGTTTGTTTAATAGGACCGTTCATAGTAGAATATAGCAGTCCCTGCCTGTTTTCCAGCTTACTGCTTCAGCTAATCATCTTTCCAGTTAAAGTAAGCTTTTTAAACTAAATTTCTCTAAACTACTTCTATTCTGTATCATTGGCCTCAAGCTGAGTAGTGTTTATAAAGGCTTTGATATTTCTGAATAAACCAGTAATGCTTGTATGCCCGGGAAGGTAAAGATGAATCAGTTTCCTGAGTGGTAATATTAGATTGTCTATGTGTATGTAATTTGGGAGCACTGGGGCAAGGCCCACTAAAATGAGTGTAATTCAGAAACATAGTTAGTGCTGCCCTTTTGTAAAGAGCGTTGAGATTAAACTGAGTGTTGTTGTGAGAGGTGTATATAGTACTGGCTTTGTTTAATTTCACTACAAGACTGACTGGAATATTGTTCAGGGTAGCAGCATTTTGTTCATCTAGAAAGGTGATTGATAGTTTTTTTGATATGGTCTCAGGTTTTTGAGCCTGAGCCTATTCAAGCAGCCAACTGACCTGCACTGTAATACGAAAACTTCCAGTAGGTTGATTTGAGGCTCTTCACTGCTCAAATAACGATTGCTATGTTTCTAAAGACTTGAGTGAAAATTAAATTACATACTTGCTTTATCAAATGTATAACCTATGCCTTTAATTCATTGCTAGAAGAAGCAAGTGACCATGACTCTAGTTTTCTCAACTTGCAGATCACTTTGTGCTGCATACTAATGTTCTTCTGATTATAATGGTGTAGTTTGTATTCTTATACTATGGGACAAAACAGAGCTCTCTGTTCTGCATATTAATAAAACAGCCACAGGCTCAGAAGAGGAAAAAGCAGTAAATGTTTAAATTTAAGTATCTAGTTTTGGTACAAAATATTTGGTGTCATTAAACTTCCAGCTAAACAGGTAGCCATTGTCAGTGTGTGGTTTCAGTAAGCCTGAGAAGACTCGAGAATAATCGTCTGAAGCATCTATTCAGAAGTGGTTTTATATGGTACAAAACCAGCAGAGCAAGGAAAGAAAGCAGAAACTTGCTCTGTTCAAAGAGGTGTAAGAATGTGCCAAAATATAGCCTGGGAGAAAGGGGTGAAAGATGAGAAATATTTGTGAATCAACAGCTGCTGGGTGTGCTGTAAATCTCAGGCTGTGCAATGCTTTTCATTGTCACTTTCTGTTTGTCCTGCTGCACTATCACTGTCTTGTGTTTCAGGCTGTCTCTAGCTCAGGAAACTTAATTTTTAAATGTTACCCAAGTTCTGGGAACTTGGAATAGTAGCTTTCAGCAAAGCTTGGACTGAGCTCAAAACTTCCATCCCACCTAATGGAATCTTTTCCTACAGAAATGCTTGGAAAAAATATTCTGGACACCATGGGACCCTTACTAAAAGCAAAAAAGTATTGCAGTTCAGCCTAGTAAAGTGACATGGGTCTTCCCTTTGATATATGTGACCTCCCTTGTTTCCAAGAAGCTTTACTTTTGAGTCTGGGCCTGATGGTTTTAAAACTAGCTTTTTTTAAGAACATCCTGCACTGAAGTACTAAACCAAATAGTTGAGCTTAATAGCTAAACCCATAGAGCTTTCAGACTGCCTAGCACTTAACTTTTAGATGACTTTGCCCTTTTAAGAACAGTCAATGGTTTCTGCAAATTTTTTTTGTGAGTAGGTTTTAGTTAGGTCTTACAATATATTTTTTTATGCAGAATTTGTGCCTTTTCATATTGGGCAAGAAACAGACAAATGAAAATGACATCACCAGTAAGGAAATAATTTATACCTATTTCACCTTGAGACATTTGGGTACCTGTCTACCCAAACTAGACTTGGAGAGCAGGAGTGCAGAGCATATTAGCAAGCAGGGTGGAACCAGGCCCAGTCCTGGCTATCGAATGCACCTGCTGGACCTCTCCATTATCATTTCAAAGCTCCCAAAGCTGTTAAATCTTGAAGACTTTCCATTTTGATCTCTTTGCAGGACACTCGTCACTGTAGCTGCTTGAATGGACTTTCTGCCTTTTAGCTCTTAAAGTTTTGTATTCCACCAGAACTTGTTTTCAGGCATCCAGCTCTGGCACTGCAGCAAAGCCTTTAATAAGCACTTAAATTCCTTCCCCTGTGATAAAAACCATGGTCACTTCTGCTTTTGTGTGGTGGCTGCCTGGCACTTTCCCAAAAGACTATGGGATGCCCTACTAGCCTTCCTATTTTGAAATAAAGCAGGTTCTGATGTCCAGAGCTAAATGTGAATTGTGGCTGAGCACATGATTGTTATGCTTCCTAGCATTAAGTTGTTATTTTGTGTCATGCCTTAAATGTAAAAACATCCTAGCTGAAGTCAGTCTGTTGGGATCAGTTTGCCTGCTAACCAAACATAACTCAAATTTTTTTTTTATTCCCTGCTAGTACTGAGCCTGTGACAAGCTTAGCTGTGAATTTGTGGGGTTTATGACTGCCTGTGCTTTTCCCATCTCCATTTTTCTAAATCCTGATACTTTTCAAGCCTTATTAAAACATATTTAATAAAAGGAAAAATACACTGAGTCTAGTCACTGCTTTTTTGGTCACAATGATACCATGGAGAATTCCAGGTGTTGCTAAACCCAGATAAAGACTGTGTGTGATTTCTTTGGCATAATAATCTGCTTATGGGATTTTCACTTTTTTATCTCTAGCCATGTAAGTATGATAATAGTGAAAATGATACTTGAAAGCATGTGTGAATATGTCATATATAAAGCAAAAATGACTCATCTATTTTTTCTATTTTTTTCAAAGTAGAAAACAACTGTTTCGTTATTTCTAAAAGGTTTCTTTTGATGACTTCTGTAATGAATTACTGGATTTTGCTTACCATAGGTAGTTTAGATCAATATTTTTTTTCCTTATGTTGTGCCTATTAATGTTATTGAGGAATTGGAGCCAACCTCGTAGGTAAGGTTTGGCATTCTTTGAAGTAAAGCTAGTTTTTGAGCCTTATCTTCCTCCATATGTACAGGGTAGTTATCCTAGTGCATCTCACCCTGAGCCATACAAATACACAGAAAGTATAATGGGAAATTGGAAGGTACTACTTTATTTCTGTAGCTTGAATGAAAATAAAGCTTCTGAGGAACTGAATGTCTCAGCTTCTTGACTTTGTATGGGGCGTAGAGAAATGCAAATCAAACATAAATGAGTAAGGTACTGCTTTGAAATGTGTATTCACTCTTCAGCTTGGAGTTGTGTGTAGCTGGGGCTTCTGCAGCTCACCTGCAGATCAGCCTTGCTCTAAACAAAACTTAGGTAATGTGATTGCAAAAAATACTGCTGAGTGTTCTTCCCTTGTTTACCATCGTTTCCCCTGTAGGAAAGAGTAGTCTAAATATATTTGTATAGTGGTACCAGCTAGCAGAAAATTGCAGGTGATCTCCTAATAGGAGCTCCTGAGTTCCACTTGTGCCACCCTGTTAATGTTAAACACCTGGAGACAGTGCCTTGAACTTGCAGGAGGGGTTTTGGACTGTTTATGCTATCCATTAAGGGCTTTAAGGCCAGAA